CTGCATGTGTCTGCCAGAAGAAGTACCTTCTGCAGCCAAACATGAAGCTTTAATTCTAGTCAGTGAACTCTGTCCATCTGCTAGGGCAATTTAGCCACTGCCTCTGGAGAACTTTGATATATCAGAAACACAATATTCAAATAGAGCTCAGGCTTTTAATCTTGGATTTGGCCTGATGGGAGACCATCATCCATCAACACTTATTGAATACCCACTTGAACCTTTAAATTTGCAGCAAAATTATCCCCTGTGAGTGGCACACTCAGCAGTATCATACAGCTATGCTGCCAAAACCACCTGGAAATGGGGCCAGGGCTTTGCAATTGAAGTTGTCAGGCATATATCTTTGTGGCAATTTTGTGATATTATACCATTTAGACCTTTAAGTGGTTTGAATATAAGAGTAAATGCAGGTCAGGTAAGGAATAAAAAGAAAAGGAAAATGCAAGCAGAAAAGGAAGAGAAAGTATTTTTCTCACACAACTTTAAGCAGCTTCTGTGACCACAAAATAATCAGACGTAGATTATTTGAGGAAAAAGAATTTCCTATAGATAGTCTTAAAGACAAGTTAATTTCCAGTTGAAGGCAGGGGAAGTTAATTAATTGCTTTCACAAATTGAAATGGATGATCACATGCAACAACCTTCATCTCTGTGTGTTAAAGAAAGTTAATGGGAAATCACTTACACTGCTTCAGTTGTTGTATGAAAACAATACTGGAGCTTTCCTTTCAGCAACGTTTCTCCTTAGAAAAAAGGATACTCTCCTGCATTCTATATAGAACCATAGATTGTTTGCATCACTCTTCTTCCCACCTTTATTTGTCTTACACCCCAGTAAAATCTTGAATGCAAGTATGACAGAGCTCAGGTGGCCCAGCATAGTGAAAACACTTAAACCCAGTATAAAATACCTTTATCATGAGGCAAACACTCAGTGAAAGGTCAGTTAACTTTCTGTTACTTGGGGATGTGTGTGAGGTGTGTGTGTATGTGCAACTGATGCGTTTGCAGAGCTAGGAAGCAGCTGCATGTGTTACCATTCACAGCATCAGATGCAGGCAGCCCATAAATGGCACAGAAATCTGTGCATTTTCCTGTAACAGCATTGCATCACATCCGGGCTATGTTTAGCAATGTACTCCCTGTTACATCTTTTCTCCATGCACGCAGTCTATTTAGTTGTCATTGTTAGACAATATGCCCACTCTTGCCACTGAACATGCTTGGCACCTAGACTGAGAACATCTCCTTTGGCTGGGTGAATTTTCAGGTACCAGCTCTTGTGACAAATGCATCGAGTGAATTGGCAGCCACTCTTTAGTTGCACAGCAGGCAAAGAGTCCACAGCACGAGTAACTCCTGATAGCAGGGACCCTTAGAGTGTGGTGCTTCTTTTGGGGGCACACCTTTGGGTCTGCTGTCCTTTCCAGCCCCCAGGCCCTGCGCCTTCAGCCCACAGCACTCTGCTTTTGAATGTGGGGGATGCCAGGAAGGATGGTGCAGGACCCTCAAGCACCATTCCTGAGATATGGCAGGTCTGACAGACACTGTTGATAGTGTTATATCTTGCAATGGCTCGTCTCCTCCACATTTAGCCTAAAGAACACCATACCCAAAGTTACATTGGCCTATTTTCTGATTATTAAATTCAATTCTGCAGAGAAGCATACGGCAAATGGGGAAAAAAAAGAGGTCAGAAAGGATGTGCAAAACAGTTCATAAGGCTGCATTTCTTTCAAAGAAATTGGTCCATAAGTACCAGTAAGATATTAATGTAAAACATTTTAAAACATAGCTGATCTCAGAGTGGCTAGTTACAAAACATAATCATTAATTGCTTGTTAAAAGTTAACACAAAATCCCTGCTTTTTTATAATAATGTTACCAGAGGCCAATACTTAAAAAAGGGTAGGATATATGCTGATTTCTGTGTAATCATTGCTGTGGATAAGAGATAAATATTATTATGTCCCTAAACTAGGACATTAATATATGTATGGCACTTCTTGAATAAATAAGATATATTAAAAAAACTCAAACCACAAAGAAACAAAGATCATACTCCTAAACGTTCTGCTGGATGAAATATTACTTGCAGTGCTACCGGCTTTGATTGTAGTGGTAGGTGTAAGCAGGACAGGGTGTGCATCCTCCTTCCCTCCCCTCCAGCGAGCAAGGGAGTTGGAACACGAGCAGGCTGAATCTCTCCAGGCTGTGTGACTAATCCGTGGAGCCCACCAGCCCTCGCCACAGAGGAGACCCAGCCCAAAGCTGCACACAGCTTTGTTACGCTGCCATTCCGGAGCACAAAGGAAAGCGACGCTGCCATCAGCAAGTCACCAGCTTATCTACAAGAATTACAGAGGCAGCTATCGGCGTGTCTGCTCCGCGCTGCTGGTGCTGGGAGCAGCCTTGCTGTGCCTCTCCGGAACGAAACCGGATGGGCAAGGGGAAAACTGGCCAACATCTCTCGTTATTCCAGGACAAGATAGTTCCCGGACAGGTCTTGCTTGGTTTCCCCAGCCAGATGGATAAAATACCATATGATTCTGACTACCAGGAAATCTTAGGATAATAGTGCATAGAGAACAACCTCTGCTTTGGAAATACCACCTTGTTAGAGACATTAAAAATATCTAAAAGAAACCACTTAATTGTGCGTTGTAGCAAAATTTTATTTGCACCTTCTTTTTCCTGGACTCAAATGCCACTCTTTAAAGGGTGAAAAGAGGCACAGAAGTATCCCCCCCATGGAAGCAATCATAGTTAGGGACATCCTCTGATGCTGTCAAACTTTTTTTTTTTTATGTCTAGTTGATGCCGCTGATCTAGCACTGACAAATCCTTATTCTACTATTTTAGTCATACATATAATATGAACATACATGTTACATTCATGTGTTGGGAACATGGAAAAAGCTCTCCTACAGTGCATTAGCTATAAAAAAGGGCAAATGCTTTCAACAGTTTTAGAAGGGTCTAAAACTGATACCTTTTTTTGAGCCTGATTTTATTTTGTTATCATGTAACACGTATGTATTTCTTCAATGTTAGCCACTTTCCTCAAAAGCACTGTTCCTTGCTGCCGCCAGAATCCACTCCTATCAGAAGGGCTCTTCAAAATACCAGACTTTGTAATTCTTTCAAAAACTGTTGCACTAGTTTTGCCTAAAGATCCAATCTGAATGTCTGTGCATAACACAGATCCTTGTTCAAGTAGTCGTCCTTTAATCACAGAATACACACAGAAACACAAAACCACTCGAGTGGTTTATTCTGTGAGAAGTCTGTATGGAGCCTGTTGCAACATTAAACCCCTGTGTAGAGAATCAAACAGTTGCTAAAATTCTCTGGAATGATTGAGACAGCCTGAATTATGGATCAGGAAATCAGCACCTCATGGAGTTTCTAGACACGAGTTCATCTCTAAGACTCTAGAATAGAGCCTTGCTGGAGAAGTTGTTCTGCTACAGAGCAAAGGAGAAAGAATAACTCAGTTCAAAACATGTAAAGTTTTCTTGAAAGCATCAGTTTCAGGTATAGCAGATGAATAATCTGTGCAAGAGAGGAAAAGGATGTGATCAGTGCTGAGGTCTAGTTCACAGGGTAGGTTCTACAATGCAGATCTTTCCAACATCTGGCTGAGAGTACCTGTTACATTAAGTTACCTCACCCGTATCTAGCAATTGTTACTTTTCTTGTTAACCAAAACTAGATCTCATGAAGTGCAACTTGAAGGATCAAAATAAATTACAAAACCTAAATTGTGAAGGGAGTGGGTAGCCATTTTGGTGATGGCAGCCATCTTGGGGCAGAATAGATTCAAAATAGCTGAATTTTCAGAAATGACTAATATTTTAAAGATAATCTTCCCAACTGGCAGCCACTACACTAGATTTAGAGGAAGGTTACAGCTATCTACCACGATATGACATGTAACCGTAACAGGAAATAATTTCTGCTGCATGTGTTTTGCTCATAACTCATGAAACCCCAGAGATTAAAAAAAAAAAAAAAAAAAAAAAAAAAAAAAAAAAAAAAAAAAAAAAAAAAAAAAGAAAAGAAAAAGAAAAGAAAAAGAGCTACTATTAGAAACCCCTTTTCAAGGCCACGAGGTAAATCAAGAACATACAGTGTAGGAATGCCCACGCTTGAGATCTCACTCCAAGTTTAATACACAATGAAGTCTGGAAATTTTAAGTACTTACAGAAAGAGACTATAAAAACACACAGGCACATCGCCTTTAAGCAGAACACCACCGAGCCTCACTTGACACATAAGCCAACCGTATTATTTGGGAATGAAGGTGTATTTGTGATTTATTTCCCCCGCAAGAGACTTTTATCACTCAGGACCTCATTACAGTGGCCGCTGCTCATTTTTTGAGCTTTGACCCTGAAGAAGCACTTAGGTATTCACAAGGAAGAAGGGAGCTGATATTTGGTGAGGAAGGCTGATGGAAGCAAGGATGTGTCGATTGCTCCAGTGCACATCGGAAGCGGCACACGATGTGGGACGCATGGGAAAGGGATCTGGTCACAAGGGAGGCGCATGGTACCACTAGAAAACTTATCTTGACAATTTCATTTTTCCCTGCTGAGGAGAAGTAAAGGCTGGAGCCACCAGAGAGCAGGACGACAGCAGAGTAACGGTGCACGAATCCTCAAGGTTTAAAGACAACCTCGGCAACAAGATTGATGAGCACGGCTCGTGGATTAGAAACGAGGGGAAACGATAGCAACCTTAGAGGCTGGAGACAGCACGTAGCGAGCAACAGGATGCGAGCCTGACGCGGAGCGAGCGCTTTGCTTGCCGCCGCGATTGATGACATCCCCCCGCGACAGGGGGGAAACCGCGCTGGATGCGGGGCGGCGAGGGAGGGGAAGCCGCCGGTGCGATGCACAAAAGGCGGGCTGGTGGCGGTGAAGTTTGGGCAAGCAAAGGTCAAGCACGCGGACGCGAGGCAGCAGCGCTGCGAAGTGACTCAGCCGGCCGAGACATCCGCCGGGGCTGCCCCGCGGGCGTGGGCTGTCCCCAGCCTCCAAGGCTGATACATCCTCCTTTTCCCTACGTGTCAGATCCCTGAGCCACGCTCGCAGATCTGACACGGCAAGCCCACGGCATGATTTGGCAATGAGGGCGCGTTCGTGATTTGTTTCCTCCGCGAGAGACTTTTACCAGTCAGGACCCCTCGCAGTGGCCGCCGCTCATTTCTGCCCCTGAAGATGCTCCGAGTTAGCCACAAGGAAGAGGGAAGGTGATACTTGGTAAGGAAGGAGGACCGGACTTGTGGAAGTAAGGATACGGCGACCGCTCCTGCGCATCTCGGAAGCAGCACTCGATGCGGGACGCATCGGAAAGGGATGCGGTCGCAAGGGAAGGGCTAAATACCCGCTAGGAAAACTTATCCAGGCAATTTTATTTTTCCCTGCTGAAGATGGAGGAAGGCTGGAGTGACCTCCAGCGGCTGAGCTCCCGCGCCGGGGGAGCGACATGCGGAGCGGCGGCGGGGTCGGAGGGCCCGCTCGGGGCATTC